TTCAGAAATTTTAAATCTTTAAATATTTATTGCCTACTCCTTTCTACTTTAAGAATTCTCTAATTATATGAATATAAGTTTCTTGGTTTTGACACAGTGAACTATTATGACTGATCTGTAAATTCTTATTCTTCATTTTTATTTTGGACAGTTTTTATTGTTATATTCACTTATTTTGCAAATAATTTATTTTCAATTTGTAATCTATTAAAAAATAAAAAAATAAAATAAAATTAATAGGCAAAAAAAAAGCTTTGGGCTCCATCCATGAGAAACACCAGACGGTAAACTATGGTGTTAGAAACCAGAATGCAGCTGACTCTGGGCGCAGCAGGGGAGGGCAGCTGAGCAGGGGCAGGAAAGAATTTCCTGAGTTAACAGACATGTTCCAAGTCCTAACAGCATGGTGGTTGCACAGATCTATAAAATTACTGAAAAGTCAGGCTGTACAAGAAAAAAGTGTGCATTGTACTTTGTGAAAATTATACCTCGGTGAAAAATAATGTCTGGCTCAAGGACTAAATTTATACAATATACACTATTTTGTAAGCAAATTTTTCATTTACAGGACATAATAAATACAATATTTTGAAGTGCTTTAATTTTTTTATACAGATGTATCATAATATAAAAAAGCAATCTGTATTTTTATGTTTTCCACTGCTATAGCAAACATTACTAAACTGCACCTTTTTAGCCTTTATACTACTAATTCTACTGGAATGGAAGTGAAACTTTGGTAAAAGGAGGTATGTAAATAATTCCCTCCAAAGGCCACAGCAATGTCCTTCTCACCAGCCATATATTTTGAAGTTGCTCACAATGTTAAATCTTGCCATCAAAGTGTAAGATAATGTCTACCCATTTACTATCCTTTGTCTCCTTTTATTTCCATTTGAAGAGTTTGAGTTTTCTTACACATGGGTCTTGAAACTTGCATTTGCATTATTAATCACATTACCTATTAAATCGCACGTAGACAAAACCACTGAGCTTCACTGTATTAATAACACTATACTGATAATACCGTGCACTGGCATTCAGCTCTGTGTGCATATTAGTGCGGTACTTTGCAGTAGAAGTTTCCTCTACTCCAAGAGTAACCCCTACAGCTCATGCCCTGTAGACCCACAGCTCCTACGGGAGCCAGACTTCTGGCTGGGTAACCAGGAAATGGCTTTCTTTTGGTTGAGGTAATGGCTTCATCGAATGTGGTACCTAGGCCTTTCCAAGTCATGAGTCTTCCTCCCTTGACTTCTAGTCCCAGATGCCAACTTCTACTAAGTCCTACACATGTATGCATGTGATGTTCAAGATCAATTTCTTTCCCAAGGAATACAGAAAATCAAACTTGAAAGACATTTAAAAGATCTCTGACATCTGTCATTGAATGCTTTTTCATGAAGTGGAAATATCTTATTTTTCCTGCCCAAAAGATACAAATTTTCTTAAAAATATGAATAACTAAGTAGAGTTGTTGTTATTATTGCTGCTTAATTGCTCCTCAGCTCAAAGTCCAAGGGCTGATCAAAATATATAGTGTGTGTCAAAACAAAAGAATTATTATAGTAAGAGATGGTGTGTGTTTATGAGGTGTGATTGGTGGATGCTACTGCCAAATACCATCTAATGGAAAAGGAAGCAGTGTCCTCGATCCACCTTATTCACTGGATCTGGCATTGGGGGACTCCCGCTCTTCCCCAAAGTCAACAGAACTATGAAAGGGAAAGTTGTGAATCAGTTTAGGACACGAGGGCAGCCACAGGAGCACAACAGCAGACGTTCAGGAAAGAGAACATCCAGAACTGCTTCAAAGGGCCGGCAAGATAGCTCAGTGGACTAAGCACCTGCTTAGGTAAGCACAGGGACTAGGGTTCGATCCGTGGCCCCACATGCACACCAGCCCTGCTCCTGGTGCACTGAGACCAGGTGTGGTGATGCATGCCTGTAATCACAGAACTGGAGAGGCTAAAAACAGAAGGATCACAATGAGTCCACGCTGTGTAGTGAGACCCTGTACCAAATATATTAAAATTTTTTTAAATGTGGACTGCTGGAAAAAGTGGCAAGAATGATGGGATGAGGGTGGTGGAGGTAGAAAGAGATCACACCTATGATCCCAGGACTTGGGAGGCCGAGGCAGGAGGACTCCAGCAAGTCTGAGCCATCCTGGGCTACAAAGTGAGTTCAAGGCAAGCCTGAACTACACAGTGAAATCCCCTTTCAAAAAAAAACCTAACTCTGCAAAGCCTGTGACGGCATTCACTTATATTGCCCGTGTAGGCTGAGATGTCCACATCCTATCCCCTGGATGCTGAGAGTGCATGATCTCACAGGACAGGAAAGACTGCAGATGTAATTAAATTAAGGGCCTTGAGATGAGGAGACTGCCCTGGATTACACAGATGGGTCAGAGTCCAAAAAGAAGATGTGAAGATGTAAGAAGACATCAGAAAGAATGTGGGAAGAGGATGGTAAGATGTTGGACCTGAAGACAGAAGATTCATCCATGCACCACAGAATTCAGGGGGACTCACAAAGGTGGGAAAGACCAGGAAGCAGATGCTCCCCTAGAAGCTCCGGGGGGAGCACAGTCCTGCCAATGCCTTACTGTAACTCTTCTGAACTTCCTAACTAAGAGAATGAATTTGCATAGGGGTTAGGCATGTAGCCCAGGGATGCAATGTTTGTTTAGCATATGGGAGATCCTGGGTTTTATCTCCAGCAGAGGAGGGAGGGAGGGAGGGAAGGAGGGAAGGAGGGAGAGAGGGAAGGAGGGAGAGAGAGAGAAAGAGGAAGGAAGGAAATTATTATGTTTTAAATACTAAGTTAGTACTTAACATGAATGGTAAAATATGGGGAACTAATGCAACTGTGGCTCAGGCTAACTTGTATCCCCTCCAAATTTGTATGTTGAGGTCCTTAACATCCAATATCCTCACATGGGCACTATATCGCAGATAGGGTCCTTAAAGAGACATGCAAATTAAGAGAAGGCCATGTGACTCTAAGCCAATATGATTGGCTTCCTTGTAAGGAAAGGACAGTAGGACAGACTGGAACAGAGCTGACATCAGTGAGGACAGAGAAAAGATACAAGCCAAGGAGAGGCCTCTGAGGGAATCTAGCAGCTGACACCTCGACCTTGGACATCCAGCCTCTAGAATTGTGAACTGCTACATCTCTGTAGTTTAAAACTCCCTATCTGGGGAACTTTGTAAAGCAAGATAAGAAAACCAACAGCATAAGTCACGTGATGTTCAGCACCAGAGCTTACAGATGAGGACACTGAGGACACCAGGCTCCTGGGACAATCCTGAATTTCCGCACGGCACCAGGCTACAAGCTATTATTCTTGCCCCCTACACCAACTGTTCCTTCTACCTGGTTACTGAACGCCACCTCCATGCCTGGTACACGGGACACATTAGTAAATAAAGCAATGTGTAGTGCTCATAAGTTAGGGACAGACGGTGTCACATGAATACAGTTACAAAGCATCTCAGTGAAGTAAAAAGAATCCCACTGTGTGATATGGGTATACTGCCCAAGAATCCCGTGTGCACGCAGATGGCCCTCGAGGCGGGAGCAGCCCGTATCCAGAGGTCAGGACATCCCCTCTTTGTACTCACTGTGCAATCTTTGCTGCTATGACTGCGCCTTGCAAACAGCCCCAAATGCCAACTTTTGACAGAAATTCCTCACTGTAGTCTTTGAAGCCCCGAGGGGAATAACTGTTGGTGGCCCTGGGGAGGGAGGTGGTCAATTCTTTCCAGGTATGTAGCACGTCTGGTTTTCTGAATATGTCATCAAGAGCTTGACACCAGCACTTTAAAGCAGCCCTAAGACAGAAATGGAGCATCTAGTAGAATGTTTTCTGAGACCCGCCATGCCAGTTGGGCTTTGGGAATACACTGCCCTGAATGCATGCATTTATTAGAAATGCGATGAGCTCGGGGCCCGGGAGGTGGCTCAGTGGAATAAGCACTTCCCTGGCAAGTGCAAGGGCCTGAGTTCAATCCCCGGTTCTGCCAACAAAAAAAAAAAAAGAAAGAAAGAAAGAAAGAAAGAAAGAAAGAAAGAAAGAAAGAAAGAAAGAAAGAAAGAAAGAAAGAAAGAAATGCGATGAGCTTATCCCATCTCTGCTAAAAGCAAATTCTTTGGGCCTTCCCATTTGCTACAAGGTAACCTCCAAAAGATGGTTTTTTTCTAAAGGAAAAGCAAGTATGCCAAGGAAACACTCAATTAAAGTATTGGAAAATAACTCTATACCAACCACAGCCCATTGCAGTGTCCTCCAGCAGCATCTGGTGCATACAATGAAACAATGTACTATTGTTATAGAACTAAAAATTATGGAAGACAATGTTTTTTAATAATTATTATACATTTTTTTTTCAAACAAAAAGAAAGATTGCCCTTATTTTACTGACTCCAACAAAGATCTACCTTTTCTTTCCTGCAAAGATGAGAAGATTTCCAAGTGTGTGCAAGGCCTGAACTTTAAGACTTCTTTGATTGCTGGCTTGGAGAACATCTGTATTTTTAATCAAGTAAAAGAACAAATGTCAGTTCCAAGAAAAATATTTCCTTTCTATTTGCAAGAATATTTTAAAGTGCATTATTCTCTAACTGTGTAGACCGTAATATGAAAAGCGCAGGTTAATAGTGCTTTCAAATGTCGGGTAATACACACGCCCAGAGTCAGAGCAAACGATGTTCTGTTTGAACACAGTGGAGTGGGAGGTCCAATACTCAGCGGACAGGAGGGCTGCATGCAGAGTGGAAAGAGGCCTCGCAGGCTGAGAGGGGAAGGCGATACACGTGCACAAGGGGATGATGGACATGACTGGGGTGTCGCTTTCCTAAGATGGTGACCTGGGGACCAGGGAGGGGGCAGCACGCCGACTCTGTATGTCTAGTGGAGAAATGTGACGGTCATCCTGTAGCAAATGGGAGGGCCCAAGGAGTCTGTATTTAGCAGAGATGAGACAAGACGGTAGGGTTTCAGGATTTTCATCTTACCTAAATGCAGAAAATGCATCTTTAATATCATGGAATATTTTATGTTTTCTAATAAATGAACATATGAAGGATTGTACTGCCAAAAACCAAACTGACATGGCAGTGGTGTCTAATGCAACAGCACTGGCTCCAAGAAGGGGCCTCGGAAATGCCTCTGGGGGTTCTGTAGTCAAGGCCCAGAGTTCTAGAATGGCCTCCAATGGACAGAAGTGTCCCCCACAGTGAAAAAAAGGGTGAAAACCTGCTTATACTTCTACTAGCCAAACTTCATGTTACACATAAAAAGAGATGCTGATGCATGATTTCTGAATGTAACCACAGTATAATCAAGACTTATTTACTACCACAGAAAGATCATGTCCCCAAACTTCATGATGCTGATACTACTGAAGTCCCCACCACAGACCCCTGTGTCAGCTCCCTCCTGGAGCTGTCCCACTCCTGGTGATTACAGGCAGAGGCATCTGCCTGCTTCACACCTCCTGCTGCTGAGCATTTGTGTGCTAACCCCCAGGTTCTTTTCTTATAAAGTGATTTTATTTTATCTTCTATTTTATATTTAAAGCGACTTTTAAATTTATGTAAGAAGACTATGTTAAATATTAAATATAAATTTTATTTCAGGAAATAGGGGAGAATTATAAAATATTTCTTAAGGGCCAGCCAAATAGCTCAGCGTATTAAAGCACCTGTAAGCAGGTGCAGGGGCCAGGGTTTCAATCCCCAGGCCTGCCATGCCAGCCCTGCCCCCGGGGTGTGCAGAGACATTGATCGAGATTGGTGGGGTAGCATGCGCCTGTAATCCCTGCAGTTGGGAAGCTGTAAACAGGAGAATTACTACAAGTCCGATCTAGTAGTGAGACCCTGAACACCCTATGGACCCTTCCCTAAAAATACAGAAAAATAAATAAATAAAATATTTCTTGCAAAAAGGGGAAAACTGGGTCTACCACATGGGTTGGGAAGGCACTATTAAATTTGTAGAAAAGATAAATCAAGGAGACAAGGACAATGGATTCCAGCTGGCCACAGCAAAGCACAAGCTAGTGTTTCTGCTCCTGCAAAGGGATTCATAATTAAAGGGGGATGGGCAGAAGAGTGACCTAGAATTTCACAACGGTGACAGACAGCTAAGAAAGAAGGTAACATGAGAGGAGCTAGGAATCAACCAACCAGTCTTTACTTCCAAAGTCTGATGAACAGATTCCATGCTCAGATTTTTTCATCATCTTGTCACCTCTCAGGACCAGACGGGATTCCCACGTAACTAAAGAGTGCTGATTGAAACTCAATGCACAGTGAGTTAGCCTTACCAACAGTCTGGTGATAAGAAGCAATTACCAATCCAAGCTGTGAATATGGAAGCTTGCTTTTCTCCACTGAACTAAAAACTCTGAAGTGCTCCTGAGAAAGGTCAGGAGGTGTTGACATGTGCATCTCTTCTATCCCCAGACAAAATTCCACCTTCCCAGAAGAGAGTTTTGCATTGTTCACTCCTCCTTTCTCTCCTAAAATTGTGGAAACAAAATTAAAAACTTAAAATGGAGAAAGAAGGGGAATCGGTGGTAAGGGAAAAGGCAAAGGAAGTGAAAATGGAGAAGGAAAGATTTTGCATAGAACTGGGATTTATTTGCAATTTTGTAGGACACTGCCGCCTTGAAGCTGGTGTCTAGGATTATTTCTGAAAGCCCTAGGAGCATGTGGATGAGGTCTAAACTCGTGTTGTTTCGAAAAGAGCTCTTCAAAGGGGCAGTCAGCCAGAAAGGTAATGCAAAGGTAATGCTCTGCTTCTCCTGGGAGCTGGCTGAAGTTACACAGTCTGAGTTGCCTTTTTTAAAAAAACAGTTTCCAATAGTAAGATGTTCATGTGCCTCTGAGGCAGACACCTCAGGGACAGAAACAATACTTACATAGCCCTGGCCGAAGACAGAAAAAAAGTGGGAAAGAGCTTAGGTGTTACAGGCTCATACAGGAAAAGAAAGGGGGAAAAATGCCAGGGAAGTAGGCAAAATAATGGAAAAGAAGCTAATGTAGATTCTAACATTGACCTGAGGAGTAGGGATAAACTACTAGAATAATTTGGTACCAGATGAGACTCAGAACTAGTAAAAACCATTCTTAGGAACTATATTTGATCCACTGATTTATACCTTTACTGATCACTAATATATTGAATAATGGAAAGCAGATATGCATAACATAGAGTGCTAATTTGATATGATGTGAATCTGCAGATAATACAACCAAACCAGTGCAGAGTGTGCTTTGTCCACGATGAAACGGGAGACCCACAGCAATGGCAAACAGAGAAGACTCCGTCAGCAGGTTTTTGGTTGTTTTTAAAGGTCAAATTTCTAAGAGATTAGTTCAGTGGGAATCAGTATCTTATTTAAGTATAAGTCTAATTCTATTTAATTACTTCCCACCATCATTAATTTAAGTTTAAATGGATTAAATTTATTCTTACATTCTGATAAATTTTCATAATAAGGTACAAAAATATGATTTTGAATTCAAAATTTTTACATAACCTGATATTACAGTTCAGGATTTTTCCTTGACTAAATTTGAGATTATACTTTTCTGAGTTTACCATTTAATTACTCAAAAGTCCTCCCCTGATTCAATTCACAAATTAATAGCTGTTGAGAAGAGAAAATATACAGATGTAATATAACCAACAATGCTGAACATTTGCTTTTAAGCTAAAGAAGACTCTAAAAATCATAATCTATGATGTTAGTGAGAAAACAGATTGATGATTACTTAAAAATGCAGCCATTAAAAAGATACAAAGGAAAGATCATTTTGTATTTATATGTACAAAATAGGATAAATATATAGCTACTTTTGCTTAATTCAATGATAAGAAAGATTTGTCCTAATAGTGTTTGGACAGGATATCCTGTCTGCTTCTTGTACTATGGATAACCACTAAGAAGATAACAATGTACAGTGTATTGATTATCGAAAGTGTCCTATTAATCAGCTGTGAAACTATCTCATTCATATTTATTTCTCAAAAAATACAAATAAAAAGAAAAGAAAATATTTTCCAGTTATACAAACTCAAAATATTCTAATGCATCCAGACATAGCATATAGGAAATAGCAAACAGCATAATTCAGAAGGCAAGAGAAGTTGCTGTATGCTCAGAAAAAAAAAAATGCAGCCATTTCTTTGAGACTGATAAAGTGGTGTTTGGTAAAAGATTCTAATTAACTAAGTATGACTCAATTCAATCACTAAGGAAAGCAAAATACAAACATACCCACACCTGCAAAGAAAACTGTAAGAACATCAATGTATGAAATTTAAAAATTAGTATTATCATCTCAGTTACGTTTCTCGTTGCTGAGACAAAATGCCTGACACCTAAACTTAAAGGGGAAAAGTTTTAACTTGGCTCCAAGATTGTAGAGGCTTCGGTCTATAATCAGCTGGCACCAAGGGTGGGTGGTGTTCATGACATGCAGAAGGTAGCAAAGCAACAAGGCACCCTAGCAGCTTCTTTCTGGTCTCTTAGTTTACCCAGGCTACCTGGGGCAGGCCGCGCTCACACCCTTCATCCTAGTGCCCTTGAGCCCAGCACTGCGCCAGGACTCAATCCCAGCATCACAGGTCCTAGATCCAACCACCTTTATAAAGGTGACCACATGAGGCTTTGGGGGAATACCTAAACACAAGCCATAATAACTTGTCACACCTGCTGTCCTCAAGGGAGTTTGCTAGTTTGGCAGGAGGCATAAAATCATAAAAGTGAGGGAGAAAGGGCCTTGGTTAGCATAAAGCACCAAAGGAGGTGATGAGAACTCCTAGATGTGAGAGAGAGAGAGGTAGCTGGGTTGGGCATGGCAAAGAGGAGAGGCGTGGCAGAGCGCCATCTGTCTGCAGAATGGGGGCCTCAAAAGACAAAGATCGAGGCAGAGGCAGGAGTATTTACCTTGTGTCTGTGCAAGCAGTAATGACAGCAACTTTTTGCTGTGTCGGAACGATCTATTGTGGTATCTGGATTTTTCCAGAGTCTCTCTAAAGCATCTCAAAGTGTCCGTCACATCCACAGGCACGCAGACAAGCTGCTTGGCTCGGCTGTACTCTGGAAGGAAAGGAACAGGGATGTCAAGGATGAGAAGGCGCTCTGAGCCCCTCACACCAAAGCTGGTTGTAATTCAGAGAATTTCTTGGTCCCAACCTAAAGCTGCCAAATTCAAAGCCCCCAGATCTGCAGCAGGTGTTTCAACATTTCGATCATTTTTTTTTCTTCTTGGTATATTTGAAAGTTCTTTCAAAAAAAAAAAACTTAGAAAAGTTCTGACTCTTATGAAATGCAAATAACTTTAGATCTTGCCAATTTTCCTTATAAAGCCTCTTACTTTTTCTTTCGCTGATCATAAAAAATGAAATAATCTCCTCTTCAGCAGCCTCTTCAAAGCAAAGGTGCCCTGGGAAAGAGACGAAAGAAGGAAGCAGACTCCCAGAGACTGGCCACTGGCTCTCAAGGGTAGGAAAAGATAGGTTCCTACAACAGGAAGGTGCAGGGGGAAGCTAGACAGGGCAGGCAGTGAGTGCGCCAGCAGCTGGCCTGAAAGAGATGGTGGGAGACCGTGGCTGGGAGGCCGCTGAAGACTGAGTGACAGCTCTGGGAATTAGGCTGCAGCTGTGCTGCACACACCATGCAGTGGGCCAGGAGAGACAGGAAGGACAAAGAGGCTTCCCATAAGGTGGACACGCAGAATGCGCTCTGGAAGCACTAAGGCCTTCGATGGAGCAGCAATGTCCTAGCAGCGATGCTGTAAGACACGGACACGACCTTTGTTCTGAGTATGCACAGTGGAGCTGAAGAGATGAGGGCACTCACCCAGGACTACTAAAGTCACCGCGCAGGGAGCATAGGTGACACGGCCAAGTAAGGAAGATGGAAGCGGGAACTCAGCATAGGTAGGAAAGGGGAAAGAAAAAAGACTCTGAGGTGAAAGACCTACCAGCTGGACCTTAGAGAATAGAAGAAAGACCTGGTTAGGAAGCACGAGGCAAGGAGTTTCAGGTAGTTAGAAAAGAATAAGAATATCTAGTTTGTTGAAGACTTGTCAGGCACTGTTCTAAATTGTTTACTGTGATGGACTCAATCCTAACAACAACCATAGAGTCAGGGTAGGTACCATTATTAGCCTTATTTACAGAAGGAAAATAAGGAAGGGTCTGGTTGCTTCCCTGAAGGCACAGCACTAGTTCATGACAGTTAAGGGACAAAAGCAGAAGGAAGAACAGGAGGGTGACATGGCCAGTCCTGTGGACAGAGTAGTCTGCTACAGTCTGGGAGTGCTCCCTCCTGAAGTATAATCATCCTTCAGGATGGAAAACCAAGGAGGTGGGATATAACTATGAATGTCCATTTTGTATCTGTGTATTCAAAGAGGTTGGGATAGATATATAGTTGCATTCTCTTAATGAATAGAATGATTTGTTCTAATGGTGTTTGTAAGTAGGATCACAAGTCTGCATCTTGTACAGCAATTAACCACTGAGAAGAATATATGCAGTGTATTATTTGTTGAAACTGTACTTTCGATTTGATTTGAAACTGTCTCATTGCTATATGTTTATCAATAAAACTTTGAAAAGAAAAACAAACAAACAAAAAAAAAAAACCAAGGAGGGGTTTGAGCAGGACTGTGACAGAAAGGGATGGGTGTTTTAGGACCTTTAGTCAACAGTTATATCCATATCTGGCTGTCCCAGAAAGAAGCTGGTGGCTCACAGACCACCAAGCCACTGCACAAACACCGCATGATGGTTTAACTCAACTGTGGTTGGTTGCCATATACTGCAGAGAGACACTTGGAGAATGTTCCCACAGGAGAAGCAACAGGAATGGCTAACGGGTTTGTGCTAAAGAAACAAACAGGATGTGGCCTCTCCCTCTATCCTTTTCAGGCTGATAGCTTCCCAAACCACTTGGGTAAAAAGAAAAAAAAAAAAAAAAATGACAGACAAGACTGAAAGCAACCCAGGAAGATCGTCTACCTCAGCCACCCAGCCTGGCCCCTGTGCCATCTCCACTGTTACTCCAGCATGCACATCTCTCTCTCCACTCTGCTGAGTCATCCCCAGTAGCACATCTTCTGCTATTTCTTCTACCATTAAAAATAAAAGAAGATAAACATCTCTCTCAACTCCAATTTCCCCTCAGGTCACCATCCCATTTCTCTGCTCTACTTCATACCAAAACTCCTCAAAAAAGTTGCCTTTACTCATTGTTTTCCATCCTCTCTTGAGCCCACTTAAATCAGGCTTCCTCCTGCCTGACTTAAAAAATTCTTCTTCAAGTCCTTAAGGCAACCCACAGGGTCCTCCACCGACTGGTTCCCTAAGACTAGAGCGCTCTGCGCACACCTCACTATGGGCTCGCTCACTCCCTCCCACAATAGGCACACTCCTCCTCCACAGACTTGGCAGCCAAGGCTCACTGAGGTCTAGAACACTCGTTCCTCAGAAACTCTTGTGTCTTCCACTCGACTCCTTGAGCTTACTGCCTACCTGTTGTCTTCTGAGTGAAGCCTTCCTCATCATCTTACTTAAAACTACAGCTTCCCCTCTCACAACCTCTCTTATCTGTGAAGCATTCCATCTTCTGACATAGAAGCTTTACTTGTTTATGGGCTGGATCCACCCCCCAACAAAATGAAAAAATTCCATGATGGCAGGGACTTTGTCCATGTTGTCTTCTGCTATATCTCTGGCATCCATGACAGAGCCTGCTGTGTGGTATGTACACAGCAAGGAACTGTTAAATGAATACATGGCTGGGAAAGCTTTCTCAAGAATCTCTTTTGTAGGTCCATCTCAATGGCTGCTCTGACAGAGCACCCTCCCTCCTCTAAACCCTGCCTAGGCCTACAAAACCCCAAGGAAGGCACTGCCTTGCTCTTCACACCCTACCCTCATGCACAATGCCCTGAAGACTGTAGACTTCTCCTATTTTTCGATTTTTCTTGCAAGAACTCATGAGCTTGGGTTTTCCATCTTCCTTTCCTTAGAGAGTGAGCTCAGGGATAGAAGAAAAACAAGTAGCTTAGGCTGCCATATGCAATCACTGTAAGCTGGGTGATGTATGAATGAGTTTGTTTCTCACATACCTGGAGGATAGGAGTCTTAGTCAAGGCACCAACATGGTCAGGTTCTAAACCTAGCACCCTCCCCTCCTTGTAGATTATGCCTTCTCAGATGTCTTTTTCTTGTGGCTGAAATGGACCTGGGAAGCTCTCTTTTTAAAAAGGATACTTGTTAGGTTAAACTCGGGCATAACCAAGACCACTGAATCAGGTAAAGTTGAAGGAACAAGCAAAGTTTATTTGAGCCTGGGCACAGGCTGGCCAAGGGCAATAAGCCACTGGCTCTAAGCACTGGGCAGGGAAGGCTTTACAGGGGTTGGATGGGAGGGCTACGGCAGGGAGGACAGGGAAATTTTTAGTCTGCGTGTGGGAGTTGGCAGTCCTGGCGGCATCCGCATCTTGCAATTGCAGCTGCATAGAGCAGTTGCGCGTTGGCCTCCTTCTGCGAGCTCTGGCTCCTCATTATCTCTGTGTCCCTGCAGATGCAGTCAGCAGCCCTGCTCAGGGAGTTCTTCCTTCTCTGTCCAGGCAGGGCTGACAGCACTAATCCTATTCATGAGGGTTCCATGCTCATGACTCAAGTTCTCTCCAAAGACCCTATGTCCTGACACCATTGCACTGAGGGTTAGAATGTCAACATAGGCATTTTGAGAAGCCACAGACATTTGACCCATAGCAACAAGCAAAGGGGATGGAAAAAAGCTGGAAATTTCCACATAATAATAATAACATCCAAGCTTTAGTTTTAAATTGCTGTTAAAATTGAGATGATAATATTTACTTCACAGGGGGCCGGCCAGATAGCTCAGCCTGGTTAGGCAGATGCAGAGGCCGGGGCTTTGGTCCCTGGTGTGCAGCGCTGGCCTCGCCCCCAGGGCATGCTGAGATGGGACTGAGACTGGGCATGGTGATGTGCACCTGTAATCCCAGCGCTTGGGAGGCTGAAAACAGAAGAATCACTACAAGTCCGATCTACACAGTGAGACCCTATAGACCTTGTAGACCCTGTCCTAAATACGGGAAAAAAAATTTACTTGGTGGTGCTATTATCTGAACACGTGTGAAGTAGCTAGCATATTCCTGACATAAAGTGAACATCAGATGTGGCAACTGTTACAAGTGCCAGTAATATAGAGTACAGGCCTGTGCGGCACCCTCACTTTGGTCAGTGACAGACTCCAGGTATGACGGTGGTCTCACAAGGTTACATCACCTGCTGATACCACAGTCAGCCCAGGTGGTGCGATTGCACTGGACGCCCACACGACAGCTTGCCTAACAATGGATCACTCAAGCCACATGGCACTGCTGAGCAACAGGAGTGCTCAACAAGAGACTACTAAAAATAAAGAAAAATTTAAAACAACAGTTGATCACTCACAGATACAAAGCACAATGCCAGGCATAGAGGGAACAAAAACAAAAGTGGACAAAGCCCCTGCCTAGGCAAGCGCAGGGATGATCTGCGGCACCAGATGCCGCCCCGCCTCGCCCCCAGGTATGCTGAGCTGGCCACCAAGACCGGGCCTGGTGGCTCTCACCTGTAGTCCCAGCACTGGGGAGGCTGAAAAGAGGAGGATCACTGTGAGTCCAAGCTACATAGTGAGACCCTGTACCAAATACATTTTAAACATTTTTTTTAAATGAAAATTTAAAAAATGAACAAAACAGACATAACACCTGTTCTCCCAATGTTTACATTATAGAGCAAGAACCCCAAGCATGAGCTAGGCACAGAAATAGGCCTGGGAGCCCCACACTCTGGGAGACTGAGGCAGGACAATCTCAAGTTATAGCCCCGCCGGAGCAAGTTAGAAAGGCCTTGTCTCAAAATAAAAAATAAATCAATGTCCAAGGATTGCAGCTTGCAGCTCAGGACAAAGGCCCTGGCATCAATCCCAAGGACCCTGGGAGGGAGGCAGAAAGGGGAAGGGAGAACAGAGGTAGGAGGGGAAGAGGGGAGGGGATAGAAGGGTGAAGAGAG